GGAAACTCTAGTTAATACTGCATATGCCATATTGGAATTTCCTGCTCTTCAAATAGAATGTGAACTTATTGGAGGCAAATAGTAGGCTCTTTTCACTGTTATATTCTCCAACACTTAACACAAAGAGGTAGTCAGTAAGTGGGACTCGGTGTATGGGTAACCAAAAGGAAGAAAAGGAAGGACAGAGGGGGAAAGAAGGAGGTAAAATTGTTCAGGTAGAGAGAAAGAAGGTAGATACCTAGAAGGATGTACGGAGAAAAGAATGGAAGAAGGCATGATGAATGAATGAAAGGAAGGGATCTGGATGGACGGATGGATGGATGTTTGGATATTTGGATATTTGCATGGATGGATGAATTGATGGATGGATAGACAGATGAGTAAGTGAAGATATTGCCTACCTAAAAATTGCTTTTTGAATGAATTACTTCATGATTCCAGACTTGAAGATTCTATCTGAAGTTTCTATTTCTCTTTCTTAAAATTTCATTTACATTTTACAACAGGGGTCTATAATGCCTTAACCCCAAGATAATACACTATATATTCATAGATCTTTCTAGTCAAAGATAAAATAATAAATGGTAATGAACAAAGCAATATGGGCTCAGAAAACCTATGTTCCAGTCCAGAATCTGATGCTTCCAGGACATGTGGCCTTGGCCAACTCACTTACTGTCTGAATTCTGTATAATTATTTCTAAAATAAAGATGTATTCAATGCTGTTAGTTGGCTATCAAAAAAACATTCCCCCTTTCTTTGCTAACAGTATTTTCATTTGATTCTGGAAGTAATTTGCCCAGTTCCAGAAGAAAAATCAAAATTTGTTTATTTTATATAATCCTGTTCACACTAGCCAGTCACCCAAATCTGGCTAAGGAGAGATAAGGGGTAGGATTTCTGGGGATAAAAAGAAACATGTTACTGAGGAGAAAGCCCATGGGCTCTCACTTTTCGCCTTCCTGCTCAGGGTTGTACTGTATGAAACATTGACACTTGGAGCTGTGACAGCAGCTATTTTATAACCATGAAAGGAAAGACAGACAAGAAATTACAAGGCTGATCCATACTCTTGACATTGTTGGGGTTGATCATTCAAATTCAAATTCTACCCATACTCTATTTCACCTCATACTCTATTAGACCTACAAAAAAATTGGTATCGTATACAGTACTTTTCATATGTCAGCTGCTGTTCTATGTAAATTAGCTCATTTAATACTCAAAACTGTAGGTATTATTATATCTATTTTACAGATGAAAATACCAAGGCACTGAGAGCTCATGAGACTCACCCAAGGTGACAGCTAGTAAGTGGTAGAAGCCAAATTTTAATCAGGCCATGCGTGCAATCATTATACACTCTGCTTTCTCATGCTTTCTAAGTATTTAATTTTTAAAAAATTTTTATTTATTGATTTTAGAGAAAGAAGAAAAGAAGGAAAGAGAAACATTGATCTGTTGTTCTACTAATGTAGGCACTCATCAGTTGATTCTTGTATATTCCCTGAGTAGGGATTGAACCCACAACCTTGGCATACTGGGGTAATGCTCTAACCAACCTGGGTACTGGCCAGGGATGCTAAGTATTTCATTTATGATGCTGTCCGAACCATATCAATGTATACAAAACCTATCTTTCTACCTTGCATGATTGTTGTGAACACATATTGCTGCCAGTGTATTGTAAAACCTTTAAAACACCTCGAAGAAATATCTAATATTATTCTCAGATGTATAAATTAGGGAAATGGTGAATACAAAGATTCAGCCATCTGCCCAAGCCCACACAGCAGGCAAGTTGCAGAGCTGGGATGGGCAGAGGCCTGTGTGCCCTGGCACCAAAGCTGAATCTCTCCCCATCACTGTGCCCTGCCTTCCTGTGAGAGGCTCGTTTCTTTGCAGTGAACAGGAGGCCCAGAGGAGTCCTCAGTGATGTTAATGAAACCTGAATCTCAGGCTGAAAATAGTCCAGTGGGCCACTGGAGGGATTTGGGAGCAAATCCCAAAGGGATGTTCAATACTCTCAAATACTCCTACAGCCTACTCTCCTCTGAACCAACTCCTGAAAGGTCACCTCTTTCCCAGCTCTATGATTCAGGAAGACATGTCCTCCCTTGGGACTTAGCATTTACAGTTTCAGAATCCATGTTTTTTTCTTGCCATGGGTCATTTCCGTCTTGCTGCTGAGAAAGCACTACTAGCACCTATCAAGTCTCTAAACAAATCGGTCCTTCAATGACCCGAGCTAAGTCTGTTGTCTTTGGAAGAGACAGAGATGGAGCTGGAGGGAGACTGTTAATGGAGAGCCCAAGGGGTTGGGTAGGTTGGTGGCTGAGAATCAGAAACCTTGTTACCTAGAAAGCACTAGTGGTCGGTCATCTCATCTAGCATCCTCAGTTTATGGACAGCGGATATGAGACACAGGGGCAGTCATTAATAATTGCAACTCTCATCCGCATGCCAGACACTTTGCTGCCTGAACTCATTAATCCTTACAAAAAATCTGAGCAATAGGTAGTATTCCAAAGAAGAAACTGATGCTTAGAAAGAATAAATAATGTACCCAAGATCACAGAGCCACTAAGTGGTACAGGCAGGCTATGCAAGCAAGATTTCTATCCTCAGACTGCTGCTCTTCGTACAGTTACTGGTCATGTTGATGTCCCTAAAGAAGGGTTGATGGTCAACATAGAAATCAAGAATTAAGATAGAGAGAGCCTAGAAGAAGAACACTGAGAATAGAGAAGGGATCCAGGGGCAGACTTGTTGGGACATGCAGCCTCAGAGAAATGTATGCAAAGAGGTGTGCCTTTGCGCATGGTGGAGAGGAGGGAAGGGCCACACCTGCGCCAGAATCTCACAGCCATCTATTAAGTTCCCTGAAGTACCACTGGGCTGGTGGGGTTGGGAGGGCAGCAATTAGAGACTCTCTCCAGGTTATAAAGCGAGGTAGTAATAGATGATAAAGGACTCTTGTGTATGTGTATATGTTTGCTTTTTCAACACACGGTCTGTTTTTTCTAGTAGGTGGAGTTGTCATCACATTTTTGAAAAAAAAGATCTGACAAGTTAAAAAGTCATCTGAGAAAAAATTGGAAAAAAGAATCCCAAACGTAAATGTAAGTGCCATGCAGTTCCGAAGGCTCCATTGTGCGTTGGTTGTGCAAGGGCGGTAGATGGGTGGGGGAGCACCATTTGGCTTCTGCTCTGCACTTTTGGTGCCCTGTTGATATTAAGAAACAATGCACCCAGGAGCTTCCTTACCACTGAAACCACAAGCTAATCCACAACACCCCAGACAGCTTCTTTTTCTCCCTGCAGAAAGTTCAGCATGGAGCAGGGCAGTAAGTGTGAGAGAGTTTGGGAGTTGATCCTAGGCTGCAGGTAGCACTTTTCACGCCCTCCCACATGGTGATATGGGTGAGCCGTGCCTTGTTTTCACCTGTACAAAGCGGATGGTAACCACATCTGCTGCCTTTCTTTCCTCTGCACTGGAGCTATGCTGGCTCTTGTCCAGCATGCCCTCCGACTTCAGCCCCAGGACTTTGACACTCATGTGCTATTCCCTCAGCCTAGAACACTCTCCCCACCCCTCCCTTATTACACCCTCCCCTAGATGTGTCTCCTGATCCTCACAGGCCCACCCAAGCTGCCCTTTGACATGCGTCAAGGTGACTACTTGATGTTGTCTCTCTCCCCCATCATGGATAATGACTGGGGAATGAATAGTATCATCTAACATTTACTCAGTGCTTATCACATGCTAGACAGCTAGACACTGTTCTAAGTTCATTGCATATTTTGTTCTGCCTCTTTTTTTTTTTTTTTTTTGGTTAATCCTCATAACCACTCCTTGAGGCTGTTAGTAATGTTATCATCATGCTCTGTACAATTACAGAGCAGTATAGGGAGGGATGGAGAATTTCTGTAACTTGTCCAAAGCCACACAGTTGCTTTGGTGGTAGCAGAGGTGAGATGTGACTCTCATCAGCTTGGCTTCCCTGAGCACCTGTTCAGCCAGCACACGAAAGCTGGTTAAAGAAGACACCCACCGATGTTATTTCCCTTCAGTTCCAGGGCAAAGAACTGGTACGTGTGCTCAAGACACACAAACTTGTTTCTGTGACTCAGGACTTGAGGGTGAAGGTGAGGCATCCAGTTATTTAATATAAATTGAGTGGTGATGCCTAACATTATGAAAAATGGCTTCATGGGGAGGATAATCCCTGCTTTACATTCATTCATTGAGAACTCATAGGTAGAAATAATGGATGGTACCGGGACCGGGGTAAGTGTTCTCACATTTCAGAATAACTAAGACAGCCAGATGGGCTTGCCTGAGAAAGCACCCTTTGGTTCTGTCCCTCTCAGAGGCTGCACCCAGACCTTGCCCTGCCTTGAGGCACACTCATGCTGAAGACCCTACTGCAGGCCTGCTCACTTTCAGACTAAGTCACTTAGTGCCTGCTTCCTAGACAGTCAGGCCAGCCGGCAGCCACGCTGTGTCCCTTGCTCGCCCAGTGTTTCCTCTCTTTAAGACTTACTCATTCAGTCCAAGCCGTGATCCAGTCAGTCTTTCCAACAGATCTAAATGCCGTAGGCTCTTGGCTTTATTGTGAGAATTAAAATATTAACAGGCCTCTGAAAGCCCCATGGCTTAGGATATCAAAATGAAACCCAGCCATTTAATGAGAACCCACTATACACTCGGTATCTTATATCCACTCTTCTTACTTATCCTAATAATAATAATCACAGTAATGCAATGTGTGCATTATTACTATAAACAAGCAAATGAGAAAACCAGATCTCTGAACAGTCAAGTAACTTGCCTAAATTCACACAGCTACTAGGCCGCAGAGCCAGGATTTATACCCAGGTTCTCAGTAAGCTTTGCTGTCCACACAGCCATGGACTTGGGATCTGATTTAACAATCCCAGTTCACCCAAGGTAATCTTGTCATTGTTAAAACAATAAATGACACAATCATTTCACCTCAGATAAATATCAGTAACCAGCAATGGTATTGCTCCATAGTATTTGGCATGTTGCACAAAGAATCCGTCACATAATTTCATCATTCAACTTCATCTAGTGTGCCTGGGTTGCCCGTCTTCTGAGAATGAAGCTGCGGCCACATCCACGTGATACTCCAACAAGGCTCAGCCCCGTTGGCTCCTCTCTTATCATGAAGCCCTTGTGGTTTTCATTGTCAGCAAGTTTCATCAAATCAGGAGCAGGCAGCCCTGGCTGATGGAGAGTTCCAGCTAAGGAAGCAGGGAATGACAGGGGGTGGAAGATACTCCAAAGGCATGAAAAACAGGCAGACAGGAAAAAACCGACGCTCTTAAATAATGCTGGCAGGAGCGTATGAGCAGTTTGGTAAAACTGAGCAGAAGTATAAATATAAATAATATAAATATAAATATAAATATAAAAACATTTAGATGAGTGGAATTCTTCTTTGAATAATTTTCCTTACCAATAATACACACAGGTGTAGAATCATGCATGTATTAGCATTGTTTGTAAGAAGAAATGTTGGAAATAATTAAAGTGCCCATCAATAGAGGGCAGGGTAAATAAAACACAACCAAGTTCATAGTCTGCTGTCCACAACCCATTGGTCCAGTTTTGATTTAGAAAGTAGACTTTTCTTTTTTATTTTACTAAAATAATACAGCCGTGTATAATATGTACTCCACCTCCAGCAGACCCTGATTACACCCTGATCAACTTATAGTCACACTTCTGAGGCAAACGTCATGAAAGCTCAGCGGGAGATGGAAAACTATAGTAAATAGTTTCGTATCATTTCAAGTCAGTTTCGCTGCCAGATATGTTTGGGTGTCAAAATTTGGGGTAAAACTAAGTTTTTGAGGCTTTGGTGATTTGGGAAGGAGACCATACATATTGTGACCTGTATATTTATATAAGGGAATATAGTGAAACCAGCTAAAAATAAGTGAGGCAGCTCTATGACTGATAGTAAAGTTCTCCAAGATGTATTGGAAAATGAAAATGATGATCTGTCAGGCAGTATATCTAGGACGCCATTATTGGACGCACACACATAGACTTACACAGACGTAGGAGAGCTCTGCAAAAATACACAGGAACTGATTTTAGGTTTTGTTTCTGGAAAGAAAAATGTGAGGCTGGAAAACAGGAGTACAAGGAAAGCTCCCTTTTGCTCTGTACACTTTAGAATATTTTGAAGTTTATGTGGAGTGCCTGCATTAGCAAATGAAATTAAATACATGTATTGATACATCAACGTTCTCTTGACCACCTGTCAGGCAAGCTTTCCTTGAACAGCCCACCCCTCAGCATCCTCTGGCACATCTTCATGTTTAATTTTCTTTCTAGCACTTTCTACCAACCACGATTTCCTCTTTGTGTGTTTATCTTTTTATTTTGTCAGCCTATCTCTGCAAAATGCAAACAAATTGTCTGCCTTGTTCCTGAGGGAAGCCCAGGATCCGGACGGGGCTGGCCCTGAGGAATCATGAGAAACCAGGAATCTCACACAAGGGGCAGGCTGAGGTAGGAAGCTCAGCGCAAACGACGCTTGGTCCCATGGCAGAGCCCGACCGTGGGATGCCCATAAAGGTGGCCCTTCTGGTTGTCCACAAAAGACACCTTTTGAATTATTTCCCTGTCAGAGAGGCAGAGTCCAGAAGGTGGGCCACACTCTCACCTTTGACCCTGTTGTAACCCACCGCTCAGGATACTTTGGACAGGTGTCTGGTGAGGCTGACGGGTTCTGAGCACACCTCTCCTCCCGCCCATGCCCTTGCAAGAGGGAGTCCACCCGTGGGCACCTCCTTGCAGCCCCTCAGCCACGAGGTCTATTCAAACCCTGGCTCCCGACAAACTCCAAGTCCCCATGTGGGCAACACACTGTGGCCTCCTGGCCCCTGCTTCTCCTGAGCCCTCTTCCCAGAAGGCCCTTCTCAACTCGGCTCTGCTTAGCAGAGTCTTATCTTTCCTTTAAGGTACAATTCGAAATGCCACTTCTACCACGAAGGCCTCCTAAGTCCCTTGTCCAAACTAGTCACCTCCTCCTGTGTCTCCCCAGAGCCCCGAGGCAGGCAGGGTATGCGAGGATCTCGCTCTCCTTGCCATTCCAGCCAGCTCTTCCCCTGTTAAGATCCCCAACGGTGCGAGTTCCCGGAGTGCAAAGAGCCAGCCTGAATGGAGAGTTTGCTCTTTATTCCCAGCACCTAAAGGGAAACCTCACCTATTCTTAGGACATAACCTGTTTTAACTGTATAACAGGGAACAGAGGTAGAACAACAAGAATATTCAAAAGCAGTACTCTATACTATAAAAAAGAGTAAAGACTTACGAACGAAACAAACGTGTTGGAATCTCCACTCTGCAACTCACAATTTTGTTCCTTTGGGCTGTTCCCTTCACTCCTCAGAGCTTCAGCTTCCTCGGCTCTAAAATGGGCCAATAAGACCTGCTCTGTAGGAACGAGATGAGGATAAAGGATAGAATATAACAGGATCTGCCTCGCAAAGAAGGCAACACTAGTAAACACTCCATAGAAGCTGTTTCTTCAATTTCCTTTATTATATGAAAGAAAGGATGGATAAATAAATGAGTGCATATGAAAAAAATAATAATATTGCTATTTACTGTTAAATCAGGTTCATAAGTGGGCGGCGAAAGGATTAAACTTTCAGCCTCACTCCTGGCGCCCGGGCCCAGCTTCAGCTGGTGAGGACAACCCGCACCCAGAGGGATCGACTCACCATCCCTGGAGGTAAAGCCGCGATTCCTCTGAGCTTTCAGGTTAGAAGTGAATCTTCTAAAATCTTATCCAGATAAACTTGACATGTCACGATTACCCTGACTCTTAAGCAAAGAGTGAGGCTGTGACAGCCTGTACCAACTCCAATCTGTGTCCTGCCAGAACCAGGTGAAAGATGGAGAAACAATAAAGAAAAGGTACCGCCTGAAAGCAGCCTCCCTCAGCATCTCTGGAGGCCAGAGAGGGTCGTCTGCTCCAGGGAGCTTGCTTTTTTCTTCATTTGGTGCCACCTGCCTTCTCCCTCACTGTTCTCTTGGCCTCAGCTGAGTCCCAAGGAATTAGCTCCTCTGCAAAAAGGAATCACACAACAGTGGGAAGCCGATTAAATGGCCTTACACGTGCCCGGGTCTGCTTACAGCCAACCCGAGCGAGCGTGGCCTGGTTGGCCCTGCACAGGAAGCGCGAGGCTGCACTCTCTACAGTCAGAAGCGCCTGACCCACGTGGGTAAGCGCGATGCCGTGGTCTCAGGACTCTCCTCAGTTGTGAAATCTGTGATGCGTCACCGCATTTACTTTGTACTCAACGTGCCATTCCAACCTGACCTTTTCTGGAATCTGTCTCTGGTTGGGGAGGCATTGTCCTGGGCCTCCTGCAGCCAAGGCCGGTTTGAAACCCGTGGAGGATGCAGGCACTCTTGTTTCCTGAGGCCCCCTGCATACTGTATTAAAATAAAATATAGTCACGTCCTACAGTAGCTATCTTGCTTTATAAAACCAGTTCTGAATTAGTTTTGGTATAAATTATTGACTTTTTTCCCCTTGTGGTTTAACCTATATTATGTTATGCTTAAAAGTATAAAAAATACAGTGTATATATACATAATATGACATGCATTTATTGTACATGTGCATTGAGTGGCAGAAGGCTAGCTGACATAATGTGAAATTTTACAAACATTGAACTTTGCATTTATTCATTTTTGACTCTGCAGTTTTCTTTTTGCCCTTTGGAGGTGCCTTCCCTCTCCCCGCCAGCCCCCCGCCCCTCGCTCTCCGCTATCTGACATTTGCTTTCCAGCCTGTGAAAAACTCCCGAGCCCCAGACCCTCCACTTTGAGTGGCATACGGATAAACTAGGTCAGACCGCAGCCCCTCCTGCCTGGTATGGGGGAGAAAAGCAGGCTTTCACGGAGGCCTCCCATCTGGCGCACCTCTCAGGACAGAGCTCCGTGGTGTTTGTGCAACATCTCTACGTGCAGGTACCTCCTTATAGTGGAGGCCTCAGGGATGTCTCCACGATGTTCTCTGCCAGAGACCATCTCTGGTTTTCTCAGTAGCTACCAGATGAGAAGCTACTAATACAATACAGCACTAATCTTGCTACTGGCCCCATTTTCTCCTTCAGCAAAAACTTCATCCGACTCATAAATGCCACTTCGTGGTAAAGTTAAAATGTTCCTTTAAATAGGGCTGGAATGTGAAGGTCACAGTGGAACTTCAAACTCCGAATGTTATTTTCTAGGATTGTAGCTCAGCCATGAAATTTTGCTCCAGGCAAAATTCAGCATGCTAGGTTGGAGCTGAAAGATAAAGCTTCCCTGCATTTACTTCACTTCAAAACCAGAAGCCTTTTTATATTCTTGTTTTACACATAAACACTGGGAAGAAACTGTTCCCCCACAAGACTCTCTTTCAAAAAGAGCAGCCTAGGATGTTCCATCTATTCTCCTTTTTCTGGAGAAGAAAACTGACTTTGCTGAAGAACTATTATGTGTAAGGTTCTGTTCTATGTGCTGTGCATGCGTGTTTTCTCCTTCTTAACCTTGTAAGGACCTTGGAAACAATAGATAGTGTCATTCCCATCTTACAGAGAAGAAAGCTGGGGAGCCACGAAGATTAAAAACCTTGGTGAGAATCAAACACCAAAGACTCATCAGTACCAAAATCTGAAATCCATTCTCTCCATCACTCTACAATTATGAAAAGTAGCCTCAAGCACTGATTAAGAAAAACATGTGATTCAAAGGAAATATATTCAGTGGTGCTAAGAGTTCTGAGAGAATTTTCCCATCCAGAAAATTAGACTCAAGTGGGCTGAGTCTACCGAAGATACGAGCAGGAACACTGGTTTTCTGTTCCCACTGACCATCCCAAAGGACACTGACTTTTTGTTTTGGTTCTCACAGGCCCCAGCCATTCATTCCCTGGTGCTTTTCTATGCAGTTTAAATGTAGTCCTGTTGGGGGTCTTTAATGACAACAATCTGCTTTCTTGTCTAAGTTCCAAATCAACGAAGAGATAAGACAAAGAAGGCAGGGAGATGGAACCAAAACTTGACCACCCTTAAATTAATATTAGAGAATCTGGTTATAACCAGTGGCCACTGAATCGTGGAACTGATCAGACTTATCTACCAGACATGCAGTTCTGAACCAAGGCAAGTCTGATTCTAGAAGAGCTGTATTGAACACATGTCTACGAGACAGCCCCCAGGAGGAAGCGAAGCTTCTGTCCATGGTCCATGGCCAGCTTCTCCCTCTAACCTCTCTAATGAGGTGAGTTACTCTTCTCCTCTGGGGGAGGAGGTCAGCAGTAATACAGTAATGGATGTTTCTCTGCATGGATTAAAAACAGCAAGAGTGGCTCACAGTAGTATCTAATAACTTCCCCTGGATACATTGTGCATTCTAGGCACTGTTTTAAGCCCATTATATTTTTTAACCCCATCAGTTCTCATCACAATTCTATCAGGTCAGGACTATTCCTAACTTCTATTTCAATAGATGAAGAAACTGAGGCCCAGAGAGGCTGGTGAGCTTGCCTGGGGTCCCTCTGTCACTGAGGGAGGGAGCCGGGATTTGAACCCAAGAAGTCAGATTCCAGAAGCACAAATCTGAACCACCAAGCTATGATGGGTTCACAACCTACGGGGAATCAAAACTGCTCTTCCTTAACACCCCCCTTTCTAAAGTCCAACTCTGCCCTCCCCTGAAGGCAAAGGCGAGGCGCAAGCTCTAGCTCCCGTGAAGGTCTTCCTGACAGCGGAGCTCCTTGGGACCCCTCCTCCACTCGTCCTGAGGGCTTTGGATCAGCCTTCACCTTTAAACCTGCTCCTTGGCAGCCTGCACACTGCGGCCTTTGTTCAAGTGTGGACAGAAACCAAGGGAAGCAAGGGTGAAGCTACTGAGACATAAAGTCGGATTTGTTCTGATCACTATTAGATAACTTCATGTAAATGAAATGATGTGGAAGAAAAACAAATGGCAAAAAGTGGAGTCTGATTTGTATCTTGTAACTTACTTAGCACTCAGTTGTCCACCATCTCATGGCATGATTAGAACGGCCCGCTCTGCTCTCTGCTGGGCACTGTTCTGAGTCCTGTGATGAGATTGCTCAAAACAAAGCATGTAAGCAAGTGAACAAAACCTCCCTGATCTCACGGGCCTTATTGCCTAGTCAGTAGGCCCAACTTCAATTCTGTAATCACACAAACATGCTATAGCACATGGAATTAAGTGCTCGGGAGAAAACAGAAAGGTGCTGTGAGAACAAAGGTCAGAGGAAACAACCCTTTCTGGGGAGACAAGATGTCAAGAAAGCCTTCCTCGAGGAGTCCTTTAGCTACGAGTTGAAGTACGGGTAGTTACTCTCAGGTTTAAGATTGGTTAAAGCAGGGTCACATTCCAGGCAGAGAAAAGGGAAGACACAAAATCTTCAAGACAGGGAGCAGCGTGGAATGACGGGCAGCTCCCATGGCTGATGCCGAGGAGAGATGGCATCAGAAGGGGCTGGAAAGGTTATGTGGGCCATGTGAGGGAACTTGGGGCTGATTCTAGGAGCAATGGGAGGCTTTGCTTCATTTGTAATTCCTTCATTGATCAGCCTATTCAACACACATTTTTGCAAGATCTACAAGGTGCCAGGATCCATGCTGAGTTCCACGGACACTACAGAGATAATGAGACAGACAGTCAACTGAGGGAAGGAGGTAGCACAAGGAACAACTGTAATACATTTTATTATCGTGAGACAGGCTTGTCTCAAGTACTACAAGAACACAAAATGGAATTTTAACCATGCTACTAAAGGAAACAATGACAGATTAAAGGAATACAACCAGCTATTCCCAGCAGAGGAAAGGACATGTGCCCCAAAGAGCAGGGTGGGCCAGGAAATCCCATCAGGAGTAGGTAAAGAAAAGGACTGTGGGCGACCTGCCAGGTAGATGGGATGTAGAAGGAAAAAGGCTTCACATACCATTCTGATGCATCATATTAGTCTGTTTAGACTACTCTAACCAAACACTACAGAGGAGGTGGCTTAACCAACAGAAATAGCTGGTGTCTTTGTGTCTCTTCTCTAGACCTGCCGGCGGTTCCCCCAACCAGAGTATTTTATTGGAGACAATTTTTGGGGGGAAGCTTTTGGGGTCCATCTTCTGGGTATTAAAGTGCTGGAAAGACAGCATTGGGCAAACAGATAGGGTAGAGAACCCCTCCAGGGGCCTGCCTGGATTCAGCTCTGACAGATGTGGGAGCACCTTTGACCCGGGAAGGAAAACACATAACTGATTAGAATCCAAGGTTGGCAGAGCAGGTGGGCTTTAGTGACACTGAGGGCCCATAGTCTTTAGCCTGACTCTGTACTAGAATAATCTAGAAAGGTTTTTTTTTTTAAATACTGATGTTTGGGCCCCAATCCAGAGCCACAAAATCAAAATCCCTAAGGGTGGACCTAAGAGTCAGCAGCAGGTTTTGAAGTCTTCCCAAGTGATTAGTGAGTTGCTGAAGTTAAGAGCCAATAATGTGCCTAATTGACTCTTTCACATGAGGAAACAGAGGCCCAGAGGGGTCATCCTGGCAGAGAAGTGGCAATCGCCACCATTTTGAATCATAACTGCAGCTCACTATAGTGTAACCAACCTCAAAAATCAATACATGATGAAAGAAAAACTAAATACACTTAAATGAAAATAAGGGGAACCAAACAGATAGCTGGAAGAACATGCATTTTGCAAATGCCTCTACTCGGGTAATGATTGCACTGTATTCTCTTTACCTGCTTATTTTTCTGAGTCTTCCCATCAGCTCCCCAGACCATGACTGGTTCGAAAGCAGAGCCATGCCTCGTTCGCATCTGCATCCTTGCTCCTGCAAAGGCTGGCCCAGTGTTAGAAGGTCGCATTTTGTGTCCCCCAAAAAGATAGGCCCAAGTCCTATCTCGTGGTGCGCGAGAACGTAACTTCCTTGGGAATTGTTTCTTTACAGATATAATCAGGTCTTCAGGGAAGAGACCCACAAAGTTGTCAGAATTCACTGAGAGCCTTCTGTGCTCCAGGTATGTTCATGATCTCCCCTCTTCCTTAGGAGGGCCCTAGGAAGTGGACATATTTATCCTCATTTATGCTAAGGAAATAATAACCGAAATCTTAAACTTACACGAATGTGCACTGTGGGCAAGGCTCTGTTCTAACGGGGGTTTGTGTAT